GCGGCCAGGGAAGTCGTAACAATAGTAATTTACCGTAATAACTCATCCGCGTATAGAAACACTTCAAATAATGCCAACCGTGGCCGCACGATTGTTGAGAATCCTAGAATTTCCGTGGTGCACTAAGAGCACCGCAGCGCCACCAGAAGCGCCATATTTTCTGCCCTACTAACGATTAATGACGGGGTAAACTCCACCGAAATTGTCACAACTCTTTCACTTATGATTCACACGCGTCTCATCGCCTCTTTCATATTACAAAAATGTTCATTGCTCGGAACAATTTCATTTAATCGTCTGCAAATATCACATGGCGCCTTGTAAAATCACTCGGTTTCTGTTATTATTGGAACTAGCAATTTCGCACCAATTTCCAATTATAATTCCACTCTAACTCACTGCGAGTATAAGATAATTTTGAACTTAGAAACTAATTAGATACATCTCGATCAATGGAAACTGGAGATTAGATAACGAAAATGCAGTCGAACGTAAACTCCATTGTTAATCAATTAGCCTCGTGGTGAACACCGTAGGTAACGATTTATAAGTTTACTCTAACTCGACAGGGGCGAGTGGCTGTCGTTAATTTCACGAAACGTGGAGAAAGAATAGTCAAAGGAACGAAGGAGAGAAAAAAATTAGCAAAAGGATGTAGGAGAAGGTCTGGCGGATAGAGATTGACGAAGATGACACGATCCTGACTACCGCGCTGGGTTACTCCCGATCGTAAAGTAACCGAGGCGCAGAAACCCGACGAAACGTGCAATTGAAGCGTCGAGCGAGCGTGATTACCGTCATCAGCGAAGTTCAAATACCGGTGTAAACGCTTCGCACTTTCGACTCCCTTGGATATGCGATTGTGCGAGATCGTGAGCGGCTTTACACTTTGATCGGGGACCCGTATTACGAGAAATCATTCAGCAACGTCGGTGCCAAGAGGGGGAAAGAAGAAGAGAAATTGAAATCACTTCGCAGTGTAAAATCATTCGCTACGACGTCTCGTCGATGAACCTTGGGGAAAGTACGTACGTACATAGGCGTAGTCTGCTTAATGTTCCATCTTGGAAACCTTGGGCTAATGTTTCTTGACGTGTTGCGGGCATCGATGAGCCCGGCTCGGGGAAAAACAGGTTTCATTGCGCGGCATTATCGAAATTCTAAATTCGAGATTGCATGTTGCGCCGGCGAATAAGCGTTTTCACTCCGTACGTGTTAGTTTAACAAGGATAACGTAATGGATCCGTTAAGAGCGTGGCGATCAACTTAAACGCCGTTCTAAATTACACGAGTTAATTTTTCAGTTACTCTGCTATAATAGCGGCACGATAAGTAATAACGGTAGAAGTGTAAAAGAACCGTTCATTTGCTAAATAGAAGACATTATTGTTTCTCATTTTCTTGTTCTTTTCAGTATAATCGACATTCATCAGGCGGCAATTTTCTATATATATATAGAATTATTATTCGATATTACAGTGTTTTCTTCTAAAATTATCGATGCGCGAAATAGCTACACGTTTGTTCCTCTAGTTAATCGGAAGTGTTAGAAAATTTGTTATATTTTCGGCATAATTGGTCGATGTCTGTTGATATTTGATAAAGGCGTATTTTCAATCTACGATACTGCCTCTGCCATCTGTCCGTAAGCTGACTAACTTTGCGTTTCAGACATGCATCGTGGCGTCCTCTGAAAGATTCATCCTGAAACTTCTTGCCACCAATGATGGGAAAATTATTGACCACGTTGGACTTAAGACCATCTTCAACAGCCTTGTTCTATGCAATTTCTTAAACTTCTTAATGCCTTTGATTAAACACGAGAAAAATTCATTTATGGCAATGTCTTGTAGCAAAATCTTCGCTATGTAATCTCCTTTGTAGTTTTTGTTCGATCATTCGTCATCTAATAGGCCAAGATTCTATCTCGTATCTATATAGTTAATGAACCAATGACTACAAAGTAACAGTGGATGCAGAACACTTTAAAATCAATTAGACAAAGCTGTAATCGAAGTTTTAGCACAGTATGTTTCTTATTTATCCTACAAACGAAGCTCAAATACTCATAGCAATCTATGATTCGAAATGATCAAGCGTTCATTAATCATTTACAGTCATCCACTTGCTCTCGTTCAAATGATTCACATGAGTCACGTAATTGGCGTTTATAAGCTGTTTAATAATATAACGATCAATTTGTCACAATTAGCTACTGTAATGATAGTTTCCGTGAATAATTTATTGTTAATTATTCCCTCAACCGTTGCACGTATATAAATGTATCCAATGTACGTCCATCAGGCGACGACAACTAAATTGACAACTAATGGAAATATTGCACGTGCCCATAATCAGTGGAAAAATTATCCCACCGCCGTCGCGCTGGTGCTAAAGTCTCGGCTGTACTTAAACTTCCCCTCCTTCCTTACCAGCACATCGTAACACAACAGCTCTGCCTGATATTATGTAGTAATTAGGTTATCTCTGCGATCGTCAGTAGCAATTTGCTGCCAGCGTTAATTGTAGTAAAATTTAGTGGCCCCGGAATGGAAAAATTGTAGTCTTTAATGCAAGGCGCCACTACAGATTCCATCTATCCGCGAGCGGATGACAATCTTAAAACATACAAAATCATGCTGTAATAATGTATATATAAAAAAGCTTGACCGATCTTATCCGGTAACTAGCCGTTTAATCTCTCGATCAAAGGTTATGCAATTTCATAGCGTTCCAAAGACTGCGATACATAGACCGGATGATATTTCATCCTGATATTCATACTAAATTAACCACAATGATTAACGTGCGTTAAATACGACGTACATAATACGACCCAGTATATAAACGTAGTATAAAAATATATATACAAAATCGAGGACCGGTTCGTTCATTTTCTCGCGTTTATTTCATTACGTTATGGTAGCCTGGCGAGGCGACTTACACGCTAGCCGGTCCGTCTTTTCTGCTCACGGATTTTCAACGGCAGTTCACCTTGAAAACTACCACCCATGCGATTCTTTAGGCTCGTGCAACACCGCGGCTCACTATGCCGCGTCATGACGATCGAACAAGAAAGAAGAAGAAGAAGAAATAAAAAGGAACTGGCATTACACGAGGTGCGCATAAAGTTCCATGAATTATCGCGTGGCTCGGCGTGCCCCGAGAGCGGGACTTACGTGTTCGGGGAAGCAATGCTCCTGGTATGGCCGCAAGATGGGCTAGAGCTGCCCATCTAACCTATACTTACCGTCACTGAGATAATCTAGCGCTGGTCTAACCCACTGTAATCCGGCGAAGTCGTGTCGAGGACTCCTCGATCTCCTCTTCCTCCTCCATTTCGCTAAGCGTGCTTCTAACACGTGTATTGAGAAAAATTTCGCCAACTAGCATTCTCATACCGGCCAATTGATCCGACCGAATTCAATCGGCACTCGTGAAACCCGTCTGAACTCGTGCTTTTAACGTTGAAGTTTAAAGTCTTGCTGTCCGACGAATATTTCCCATTGCGTTCTGTTTCATGGGATTTCTCAGTAGCTTTTTTGAGAGATGATGCGTTGTAGGATTCAGATTCAATTCGAAAAGCATTTGAAGTTTGTGTATCAGGGACACCCTATAGAGACCTGGTAGTGACCTGTACGGGGTCCGTAGGCCGTGGGTGGTGTGGTATCTTATGGGTGAGGACGGCTCGGCCAATGGGAGTCAAACGTGGGTGGTTGTGTTGGTCCAAGTTTTCTTAACGGCTTTACCTTTGCGTGGGTGTAGGTTGCACGGCTTGCAGGATGCACCATCTTTCAAAATGGTGGCCATGCCCCCTGCGTCTCGCGGATTGATATGGCCGTCGTTTCTCAAATTCGCGACGGTACGAAGATACGAAAGTGATCGATAAATTACTTCTTACGCGTAACGTAGCAGAAATGGTTAATGTTGCGCTCATGGGAGAAAATTGGTTTCTAAGAAGCAATATGGTATCAAGACACGATATGCGCCGTCTCGGCCCGACGATTTGCCAACGAGACTTGTTTACGGTGCAAAAATGGAAAAATATGTTCTCCGACGAGTAATATTCCATTCCGGGAAACACGGCGGTGTTATTACCGTGCTATCGATTATTGATTTTTTTCTGGCGTGAAGCGAAAATTGCAATCACGATGGACGCGACAATGGAGCCAGCACACGAAGACATCAGTCACGAGCACTCAGCGCTCGATCACATTGTTCCACGCTATGCGCATGGTATAAAATTGATGCATTTCTAAATACAAATTGACGTTCAGCAAGCCGAATCGTAAACATTAACGTGTTAGAACAACGTGGTCAGTTCACGTTGATTGCAAAATTACACTTTGCGAACAACAATTTACATACTTTTACGAATATCAATCTATATCAAGCGGAACCGCTTTTTCGTTTTTATTTCGTTATCACTAGGCTAACAATTGTCGCGATCAGATGGTTGATTAGTACCTATCTGGCTGTTTCTCATACATCATGCGCGCAGTTCTACACACAATCGATTAATTTCATCGCTTGGAAAATCAAGATAAATCATCGATCGACGACGAATAGGAAATCCAGGTGAATAACTAAAGATAAAATAACTAGTAATTAAACGGGATCATCCTGAATCGATCGACGTCTATGCGTCGCCACCCCATAGCGAAATACTTCAATCGAGCTGAAACTGGTTTCCAGGAATTTTTTCGAATTTTAATTGCAGCTCGTACGTATCACAGGTAGAGACGAAGAATCAGGGTTCGTTATAGATAGACTCCCTATCTAGTGTGATCATGATGTAATAGGTTCGCGGTGCAGTGTGTAATAGGCATGCCAAGATTAAACCAAATTGCCGTCATTTAGCCGTTGGCGGCCTAAATTTTTTGTCAAATATTCATCACATTCTCCGTGCATCTTCCGTTACTCTAACGTGTAACAAGAAGAAGAACCGGAAGAGACAACGTCGGAAAAATCTTCCAGTCGATAATGATAAATATCGTGGGTACGAGAAACGGACACTCGTTTATTATTAAATAAATCCAAAAACATCGAATCGATATTACAGGTCTCATTGCTTTTTCTTCGTTCGCCGTCAGATCCTGGAGAACGCCGTCATGAACTCATGAATGATGAACACCTGAAACAGAAGGAACGATATCAGCGAAACTCTAATGGTGATCTTATGAAACCAAGTGGCCGAAGGCGCGCGTGCACGCGATTTTTACGCGCACACGAGAGGGAAAAAATGCTACTTCTAATTTTCAATTCCATATTTTACCGCGGACTATCAAGCTAACGGCGAATTGTAATTTATCTAATCTCGATCTACGCTCGACACACGTTCGCTGCAGTACCACTGGTATTCCCTAAGTTTATTCATACGCCAGCTTTATTGCACGCCGACAGAACCGTCGCGCCGGTAAAGTTCGCGGTTCCTCCGCATCGAAAGAAACATTAGAATTAGTCGACATGGTCGTGACTAGCGGCACTATCGATGGAACGTCCTGTAGAAGGTTGCCAACACTTCGACGTTCCCAGGCAAGGTCTTCGCCATGACGGTTCCTTGGAAACAATTACGTGGCTTATAATAACGAACCGTTCTTCTGGAATCGTAGATACATTTGTGTACGTACAATGCACGCACGCACACACAGGAGTAAGCTTTTCTCGAGAATATGTGCAGCAAGTGCGTGCTACAAAGATGGATAGGCTCGTAAATTTATTGGCGGAACGTATCTCTCGTTTTCGCATTCTGCTTTTCTTTTTCATTTCTTTTTGATACCCCGGGGCCCACTAGATGTTTCGAGATTTATCGCTTGACGTCAAAGCAGAAAGGAATTCCATCTAGGGTGATCCAGAATAGAATTTTAGGGGGTTTCGAACTTTCTAAATAGGTTTTCTATTATTTATTTTCGATTATACCTTTTTCCTTCCACTTCACAAAGTACTTCTTTTTAACGACAAAATGATATAATAGCCAGAAAATCAACAAACAGAATTTATAGTACTAAGTGGTCTTCAATTGTTCAGGATTCTACCGATATAGTAGGATCCTAATGATATAGTAGGATTCTATCAAACATAACCTGCCACACGATACGACAAATCGCATTAGGCAAATGTATAACAGAAAACGTCGACTGTCATTTCTTATCTACAATTTCGAACGACCAGCGTTTCAAAACAATCATGGGATCGATAATATGCGACGTGAACTGGAAGTGGACATGAAAGTAAGTACAAGATTAGCATCTACCATGAAACCATGCATCTTTTATGTTTCGACTCTGTATAACCTAAGAATGAAAAAAAAAAGAAGAAGAAAAAATACCACTTTCGACACTATCATAGAATAATCGATTAATTTTTTATGCTCCCACGCCACATTGAGCTGCTATGTAGATACTAGAACGGTCAAAGAAATCCATATACCACGCGGGTCGAACTTTCCTTACGCAGGATCTGTAATAACCCAATAAATCAGAGTAGCCTGCCGGTGCAATTACGTCCCATGGTTGGAACTCGCAAGAACCCAACCCTTCTCGTAAATATTGCCCTCCACAACGGAGCAGTATCTTTTCTGGTCTGCTTTTTCTTTTCTCCCGGGCCTTTTTTCTCGCTGCTCTCACGACCCCGACGTAACCAGAGGAACTTCGCGTACAACGTTCACCGGGGTTGTCGATGATGTCTGTCTTCTCTCTCTCCCTTCCCCGCCGCCCCTCCCGCCGTAACCTCTTCGAATCATCGCCATGTTTCCTTCATTTCGGCATGGTCCTTTTTTCGCTGACCAAAGTGCCGGGGCACATAGTGCAACCATGGGAACCAAACGAGTGGAGAGTTAGACTTTGGGGGGGTTTAATTGCCACCGAGCGATCTGTTAATTCCTAAGTGTCAGCTTGAGAAAGCAGGCTGAGAAAGAAATACGAAGGCATGCAATAAAAGAGCGATTTCGTGGGGTCCCGTACCCCTGACACGGCCACGGATATATCATGAAACGCGCGTTCCGTTGAACATGATAGATTACGAAAATGTCCGGCGATGAGTAAGATACATCGGGTAACACCTCGTATCTAAATGGAAAATGCAATAAATATCGCACGTTATCTGGTCAACCTGTTACCACACTGGTAAATGAAGATCGACAACGTGGCGCTCGCATGTCTATAACTGAAGGTATAACGCCGGTTAAGTGACCAAAATTACAGAGTCATTACGCTGCATTGTGACATTTATTACCATCGGATAATACCGTGTCATTTAACTGCCAATATTACCGTGCATCTTCTTTAGCGTCTCGCTACGTTAACTAACGATTTATCGTGTACCAATATTGGCTGGCTAACGAGAAGAAGATACGCCGCGTCGATTCGACACGCATTATGCATTTTGATCATTCGGACGATGACTTCGAGTTAAGAGTGAGTACATCATCGTTGCCTGGCTAAACACACAAAAGGTAAGGTTGAACATTGTACTTTTCGTCGAGTTCCTCTAACGTCTAACCTAAACCCAACCTAAATTTTCGTTGCATCGACGTTGTTTCGCCGACAAACGAGAATACAATCGAATGGAATCGCTAAAGTACGCGCACCATCAATGCCGGTCAACCTAGCCTCAAATCATACTGCGTACGCCTTCGCTTTTGCACGCGGCAAATAAAACAAGCCGGCAGTCGACATCGAAATTATACGTATAGATGGCATTGATGTATAGCCGAGCGGGTTTTGATAGACCGGACGGCCCTCGCGGCCGAGTATAATCGCGCCGCAGCGCATCGTTTTCTCGCCGTGTCGGGGAAGTCCTCCATTTTGAGTCTGGACTTGGTAACCTCGGCATCATGGTCATAAAAGTAGCTGATTATCAGCGACGTTATTCTATCAAGCCTTCATAAATGAATTTCATCCCTTCATACATCGTTACAATCATCCCTTATACTTCTTCCCTTTTAGACCTTCATCGACAAAAGATACATAGACAAGCAACAGTAGATTTAAGGAGAAGTGTCCGAAAAATATTCAGCAACATAAAAGAAGAACCTAGATTGAACCTTTGATTCCACGATGGAAAAGATGAATAAACAAACGTTGCAACAAGCGTTTTTCACGCTTAGTCCGTCTAGGAAGTAGTTCCAATTAGTTAATGGCTTGATACTTCAATTATTGATATAGCAAAAGGATTGAACGATACTTCAAACGATACATTTTCTGTTGGCGTGCCTAGCACAGATAATGCCACAACGGGTTAACTCCGTGGAGGAACTTCGGCCTCGGGATATAAATCTTCCGCCGACAGATGCGCCGCCCTCAACGTTCACCATCGACCAACCAACCGACCAGAATTTCCAAGGGTAACGCCCTGAAAAACCAGACTCGCCTTGGATGCCCATTGCATTTGCATGTCATTTCGTAAGCGATTGCACCCATCTCAAATCCATCGTAGCACACTCGAGTAACGTAGGGATCCTATCCCTGTACGAAGACTCTGCGCATCGTCTATTTTGTCGCATCATATTAGATACAGAATGATCCTTTCAAGAGTATCGATTTTCATACGGTAGATATGTTAAAAAGTATGGGAAATAGTAATACGTAAGTTCTTTAGCTTGAAATCGTAAAAGTCGTATCTCTTCTCATCCGCTGAGATCGCGTGCTACCTAGGCGTTCACGAATCCACAAGGGAGGAGAAGTTGAATGTATGTATACAGTGGCGTGCGTATTACGTGATGATGCTTCAGCGCATAACGCGAACAGACAGTTTCTTCGATAATTTTTCTGTATCACGGTGTACACACGCATCGCAGCAGCTCGGTTGTCACGAATGGGAACGGAACGAGGCTCAGCCTAACCGCAGGGAATTCACGAATCACGCGATTCTTTCCGGGGTTAATCTCCTCTCACACTTGCGATAATTTCATTAACTTGGTCGGAGAAGACACACAGTGTGAATTTATAAGAAGTCTTACAAAGGAAACGCAGGATGTTCTTCATTATATCCACGAAGAACTACATTTCATTGAAACAGCGTTAAATTCTATTCTCGGGTTCTTCATAGAATTAAAGAATCACATCTGTATCAACGATTGTTATCCCACACAATTTCTTTTTTTACTCGACCCTTCAACCCTGCTATTGTACTTATGATCAAGCCACCGACCAATGAATATTCAAGAGACTCGATCTCTCTTTCTCGAGCAGGTCTTAACTTACGTACACTGTCCGATTTTTCATTATACCGTTCTGTCCGAGATAAAACACGAACGTACAACTTCTTGGCGTCATAATTCTCTCTCCTTCCTCGTCGTGACTGTGTATATTACTTTTGCATCGATCTCTGATTTATACACGCTGCTGCATTTTCATACTCGTGCCTTCCTACTTCTTCCGATTTCTTATATTTCGATGATCGATCTTTTCCATTTTTCTCCGATGTTAAACGACAGCACGGTTCAATAAAATAAATCAACAAAGATATTGGAACGTTGGAGGTAATCTTCACGAATGGCTCCCTGCAACATTTGAACGAGAGGAGCAAACTTTCTTCGGGTGATCACCATTTCACTTCTGCCGGTTTGTATGCAGTCGCGGAATTTTCGTGCGGCGGGCGATCGCTCAGCGGCAGCTTAAGGTCCAGCGTCGGCTTGGAGGTCGTGCATCACCAGAGTCTGGCAGGATAATAGCTCTCTCCTTCGAGAAGTCTTATTGCCGGACCATGCGCCAAGTGATTGATAGGCACCGAACTATAGAGCCGGGCAACGTGATATTTCGAGACTTTATACACGCGGTCGGGAAACCAGTCGAAGACGCATAGCGTAAAAATGCGCGCGGCCTCGCGACTTCCTTCGCATGCGGAAATTTGCGTGAGAAATCAGCCACATTCAAACCGACTCCGCACTTAAATTTGCCTCGACTAGAAACACGAAGTTCTTCTTTGTGTAATCGAAAAATTTGCATGTCGTTCCCTCACAAACGGTCTATCGATGTGATTCTCTAACGTAGACTAGTATTGCATTAAGACACAGCAAGTAGTAATTTTCTCCCTAAAAGAAATTTGTCTTCGAGCGAGTAACGATCCTTTTGTTTCTACCAACGAGTAGAAGAAAAGGGGAAGACACGACACGTGAAATATCAATGTCAAGTG